GGGGTGCGAGGAGGACTCAGTGCATAGGGGATACTGAGCTTCTGTTAAGGGTGATGGTATAATTTGGGATCGGATAAAGGTAATGTTGAACAACATGATGAACGTAATTAATGTCACTGAACTGTACATGTGAAGATTGTTGAAATGGCAAATGTTTTGTTACCTATGTATTTATCACAATGAAGAAGGTTAGTCACAGAACAAGATGTGCAAACTGATCCCATCTGATATTAAAAAATAATATTATACCAGTCTGAAAGGCTACATACTGTATGGTTCCAACTATATGACATTCTGGAAAAGGCAAAGCTATAGCAGAGCTTCTGGACAAAAATGGACTAGGAAGAAATTTCTGGCAATCTACTTCTGAAAATTGGCCGGTGAAAACCCTATGGATCACAACAGTATGATCTGCAAAGGATCACGGGGATGATGCAGGACCGGGTAGCGTTTTGTTCTGGTGTGCACAGGTCAGCGTGAGTTGGGGGTAGCTAACAACAATAGAGACAGTAAGATCAGTAGTTGCCAGGGCTTCAGGGGGCTGGGAAGGAGTAAATATGTGAGCACAGGGCATTTTTAGGGCAGTGAAACTATTAGTCGCCTGGTTACCAACGAGTCTGTCTTTAAGTCGAATTTGTAGGTAAGTCAGAACAGGTAAATACGGTTCTTATTTAGCTTCAGTTAGTCAAATGTTTGTTTTAGTATAATAGTATATATTTTACTTTTCTATGCATATGAAACACTTCCAAACTGCGCCATGTTTTCATGAGCATCAGAAAGTAGTGGGTGTGTTCATTATTTACGAACCATTGTCTGTATTTAACTCAAATTTTTAATAAATAGGCTTTATGGTAGTCCATTCTTGAGTACGAGTTGTCCACAAGTTGGATGTTCTTAACCTGGGGACTGTCTGTACTGTAATGCAGAACCCAGGCCCCAGCTGTAATGACATGCCCACATCTCAGGCTTTGCCCTCAAGCTCTGGTATTCTCAGTCCTGCCCAAAACCCAAGCTCCGCCCCCATGATATGCCCACAACTCATGCCCTGCCCCCATACTCCAATATTCTGCCACATGTCACGACCCATTTATCAAAACACACAGGACTGTACAACACAAAGAGTGAAACCCAATGTCAACTATGGACCCTAGTTAATAATAATGGATCAATACTGGTTCATCAGTTATAACAAAAGTACCACATAAATGCCTGTTAATAGGAGAAGCAGTGTGCAGGGGGAAGAGGGGTTATATGGACATATCCAAAAGCCCTGATTTGGGAGAATCCTTGCCTCTCTCTGTGCCTCAGTTTCCCTAGGAACAATCAAGGACCTAGCTACTGAATTCAGAATAGAAGCCCATAGGGTGACCATGTCCTTGAGCCGAGAGAGAAGCAAGCAAGAACGATTATGGGGCAGGCCTTGGATTGTTGGCAACCCAGGGGAGGGGCTGAAATGTGGACGGGTCCTGGAATTCTGGTTTAAAGCATTGCAGAACATGGTGGACAGGGCCACGGATGTGGGTGGGTCCTGGAAGGTGGATCAGATGATAGGAGGGCTCAGATATTGAAATATGGAGGGGGCTTAAAATACTGGAGTATCCAAGAGAGGGACTTAGACTATTGGAACGTGGGGGCACGACTTAGAACACTGGAGGGTCAGGAGGCGGAGCTCAGAACATTGGACGATAGGGGGTGGGGTTTGGAATGTTGGAACATAGGAGGTGCTCGGAATGTTGGAGTGTGGGGGCGGGGCCTGGTTGTGCCCAAGTCATAAGGGCCAATCCAAACCAAACCCACTGCGGTGGAGTCCATTCCGACTCATAGTGGCCCTATAGGACGGAGTAGAAATGCCCCATAGGGTTTCCAAGGCTGTAAATCTTCATGGAAGCAGATTGCCAACTCTTTATCTTGGGAGCGGCTGGTAGGTTCGAACCGCTGACCTTTCAGTTGGCAGCCGAGTGCTTTAATTACTGGGCCACCAGGCCTCCCTCTCATAAGGGCAGGACCCAAAATACTGGAATATGGGGGCGGGGCCTGGGTTGTGGGCGTGTCATAGGGCCGGGACTCAGAACATTGGAGCATGTGGGCGGGGGCTAAATTGCTGGCGTGTTGTGGGATCAGGGCCTGGGTTACGGGCATGTAATGGGGGGTGGTCTGCGTTGTGGGCATATTCTGGGGGAGGGGCTAAACTGTGGGCATGTTGTGGCGGCAGGGCCTGTGTTGAGTGTGTGTCACAGAGGGTAGGGGCCTGTGTTGCCGACAAGCTGTGCGGGCGGGGCCTGTGTTGTGGGTGTGTCGTGGGGGTGGAGCCTTGTGGGTGTGTCAGGGGGTGTGGCCTGGGTTGTGGGCTGTCAAGGGGGAGACAATACTGGAGCATGTGGGTGGGGGTTGAATTGTGGGCGTGTCATGGGGGGCAGAACTCAGAATACTGGAGCGTGGGGAACCTGGCTGTGGGCATGTCCTGGGCTGGGATAGACCAGGCTTCCTTAGGAGGGCGGATCAGAACCTTAGCCTTCTTGATGGGGGGGAGAGAGGCCTAGGCGTGGGACTCACGTAATTGGACGCCCACCAAGACTTGAGCTGCAGGTACCACTGCAGTAGCGACGCCTGCAGCCTTAGGAATTCCTGCGCTAGGCCCGCCGTCCGGTTGAAGTCTTCGTCAGAGAGGACTGGCCGGACGGACTCCAGGTACTGAAGGGGGCGGGGGCAGAGAAGAGCAGGTCACGCCCCGGCCCATCCCGGCTGCCTCCCGCCCCCACCCCGGGTGCCAGGCCCACCTTGCGGACAGTCTCCTGTACTGAGGGCACGGGCTGGCGGGGCAGGGAGCACTGGTAACTGAAGAGCATCGGGTGGCGGCCAGAGAAGATGCGGACCAGGGCCTGGAGGGAAAGGTCTGGGGTCCTCAAATCTAGAGTCACTGATCCCCTCATGGGGCCCCAAGATTATGGGGGCAACCTACAGAGAGAATGGGACAGAAACCCAAAGGGAAGGGCACAGAGACCAGGGTGGGGGTGGGGGACAGAGACCCAAACAGAGAGGGAAAGAGATTGGGGAAAGGTGAAAGGGACACAAAGAGAGGGGGAGACACACCCAGGGAGGGTGGGTGAGAGGTTAACAGACATCCGAAGAGAGAGGACAGAGACCCAGAGAGAGGGAGACAGAGACCCAGAGAGAGAGGGGAACAGAGACCCAGAGAGAGAGGGCGAAAGAGATCCAGAGAGAGGGGGACAGAGACCCAGAGAGAAAGGGGGACAGAGATTCAGAGAGAAAGGGGGACAGAGATCCAGAGAGAGGGGAACAGAGACTCAGAGAGGGGGGACAAGGACCCAGAGAGAAGGAGACAGAGTTGGGTCCCTGGAGGGCCCGAGTGGGCTCTGTCCCCACATACCAGCCAGGTCTTGGTGGGTGAGGACATGGCGCCATGGGGCTCGAGGAGCCAGCCGTGGTAGGACAGAAGCAGCCTCAGGGCCACGTGAAGTGTGAAGATCAGGGTTCCCCACAGACAGGAGGCGAACAGCGCGGCTGCCAGGGTCACCTGAAGCCCATGGTGCTGCCCACCCCTGGAGGGAGAAAGAGAGAGAGGCTGGGTCTGCATCTTCTGGCCTCAGAACCCCCCTCCCGCCAGCCTTTCCAGCCCCTGCATTTCCTAATGTTCCATGGCCCTGGTCATTTGGTTGCTGGAGACAGATCTTACTGTGGAATTGCAATCAGCCAGAGAAGTTTCCTCATTTATAAAGTAGGCGTGATCCCCCTGTTCCCCCAGGATTATGAGGACCCCACCCCCAAAACCACTTTCTATGGAACTTAACCCAAAAACCGAACCCATTGCCATCGAGTTGATTCTGACTCATAGCAACCCTATAGGACAGAGTAGAACTGCCCCACAGAGATTCGAAGGCATGCCTGGTGGATTCGAACTGCCAACTTTTGGTTAGCAGCCATAGCTCTTAACCACTACACCACCAGGGTTTCCCCCATGGAACTTGGTAGGGGCTTAATAACTGGAAGCCATTGTTTCTATTGAAGGTCCCTGGGTGGTACAAATGGTTTGTGCTGGACTACTCACCTAAAGATTGGTGGTTCAAATCACACCAGCAGTACTGTGGAAGAAAAGCCTGGCAATCTGTTTCCGTTAAGATCACAGCCAAGAAAACCCTATGGAGCAGTTCTACTCTATAACACATGGGGTCGCCATGAGTCGGAATCAACTTGACAGCAATGGGTATTATTTCTATTGGTATGTAGGGGTCACTTTGCCCTCCCACGAAAACTATAAGACCGTGGGTCTTAAAGTGTGGCCCCTGGACCAGAATCAGCATCATCTGGGAACTTGTTGAGAATGCAAATTCCCAGGCCCCACCCCAGCCCTACTGAGCCAGAATTTCTTGGAGTGGGGCCAGACAAAGTATTTAGTAAGCTCTTGGTAAAACCAAACCAAACCCGTTGCCGTCGAGTTGATTCCGACTCATAGTGACCCTATAGAATAAACTGCCCCATAGGGTTTCCAAGGCTGTAAATCTTTACAGAAGCAAACTGCCACATCTTTCTCCAGCGGAGCAGCTGGTAGGTTCGAACCACCTTTTGGTTAGCAGCTAAGCTAACCACTGGGTCAGGGCTCCTGGTACTGTTCTGAAATATTCCATATGCATGGTTTTGTTTAATTGGTCCAAGTACCCTGAGACGCAATTATGATTTAGGCCCATTTGACAGACGAAGACACTGACACTTAGAACGGTCAAGTCTCTTGCCTAAGACCATGAAACTGGAGAGGTAGGGCTCATACTTCTTTTTCAGTATAGATAACTGTATCTGGATATTTTCTCATTTGTCACCATCCCTCTTAGCAAGAGGCAGTTGGGATGGAAAAATTTGCAGAGAGAAGAGAGGAAATCACCTCCTTTTTCTTGATGCTCTACCTTTATTGATCTGACCCAAATCCTCAGAGGTTACTTTTCTTTAGCAGGCCCACCACACTGACAGAGAAACTTATTAGGAGGAGGGAGGAGGGTTGGGGAGGTTAATGGGATGAGGTAAAGACCTCACCAGTCTGGTAGCAACTCTTTGATCTTCTCCATGAGTCCTAGGGAAGGATCCAACTGCAGGAACCAGGAGAGCTGGATTGCACCGAACAGGAAAAGCCAGCTGAGGGGGCTGGCAGGGTACACACCGGTGAGAAAGTTGTTCTGCAGGGAGGAAGGGCATCCGTTCAATCATTTCCCCTCCTCCAAGTACCTACTCTGTGCCATTCTCAAATATTTCTTGAGCACCCAGTGTGCACTGAGCCCTGAGCTCGGTGCTCAAGGTCCAGTGGGGAGCAGAAAGATCTGAGCCCTGCCTTCAGGGAGCTCAGACCAGAGAGGATTGAGTGGGACTGGCAGTAGCACAAGGCGCAGGGGGAGCCCCATGGAGGCAGGTTACTCAGCCCAAGGGAGACAGAGGGCTCCCTGGAGGATGTGCCTGTAGGACCTGAAGGCAAAACTGCCAAAAAGGCAATTGATCCCCTTACATAGCAGGCCTGGGAGAACTTCTAGAACTACTTGGCCATGAGATGAATCAAAGCGTTGGGTCACTAAGCAGACTCCCAGGGAAGTGTGATAGAAATAACAACTAACATCTAAGGAGCGCTTACAGCATACCAGTCAGGCAGCCCTGGTGGTTAAGTACTCAGCTGCTAACCAAAAGATTAGCTGTTGGAACTCACCCAGCAGCTCCATGGGAGAAAGACCTGGCAATCTGCTTCTGTAAAGATTACAGCCTTGGAACCTTATGGGGAAGTTCTACTCTGTCCTATAGGGTTGCTATGAGTGGGAATCGACTCAGTGGCAATGGGTTTAATGGGACATACCAGGCAGGGAGCTCTGGTGGTGCAACTGTTAAGCGCTCAGTTGCTAACCAAAAGGTTGGCGGTTGGAACCCACCCAGCAGCTCCTCGAGAGAAAGACCTGGCCGTCTGCTCCCATAAAGATTACAACCTAGGAAACCCTGAGGAGTAGTTCCACTCTTTCACGTGGGGCCACCATGAGTCGAAAATTGACTCAACGGCACACAACAACAACGTGCTCACAACAAAGACTAATGAAATTAGTGCACCCCAGTGAGGTGGCGATTCTTATCTTCCCCATCCTACAGATGAAGAAACTCAAGCAACAAGAGGTTGAAGAACTAGGCCAAGGTCACACAGCCAGGAAGTGGGATCGCCATGAGTTCGAGTCAACAGCAACTTTTTTTTTTTTAATCATCACCCATGTGGGGAAACTGAGGCTCAGAGAAGGGCACTTGCCCAAGGTCACACAGCTAGTAAGTGGTGGAGCCAATATTCAAACTCAGCTCACAGTCGCTCAAGACCTCAGTTTGTTCACATACAGAGGACATGGGGAGCAGGGAGACTCTAAATGCAGAAGATTGTGCCAGAGTTCTAGAATCGGAGGCCCTGGGAGAGCGAGACAGGGGTTCTGGTTCAACACTGGGTATGGGCGTTCTGGAGGAGGGGCGAGGGGCCGGAGGTGGCATTTCCAGAGCTGGGGCAGCAGGGTTTGTGGTGACCGTGGAGGGCAGGGCTCAGACATCTGGGAACCAGAGGGAGGGCACGTGGCATACTGGAGAGTGGTACTGGGGTTCAGGAGCAAGGGAAAGGGGTTCTCAGGCCCATGGAGCAAGGACTAGGGGAAAGGAGGGGCCTACGGGATTGGGGTGTGGGCTACCAGAGATCTTGACCAGATCAAGGGGAGCAAAGGAGTTCTGTAATGGGCAGCATCTAGTTCTAGATCCTAGAAATAAAAGGGCCAGGTGAGGGCTATGCCATGGAGGAGGGGGGCTGAGTTTTGGAAATTGTGGGGTGGGGTGGAGGAGGTGGGTTGGGGTACTGGAAGTGGGTGCAAGAGGTTCCCTGAGGATGAGGTTGGGGATCCCGCAAGTGAGTCCCAGAGACTATGGCTTAAAGGATCCTGAAAGTGGATCTCAAAATCCCCAGAAGAGGGGTGAGCGAATACCAAAAGTGGGACAACTGGGAGGCCGGAAATTGGCCTCAAGCATCACGAAAGCAGGTAACTGGGTTCCCGGAAGGCTCACCCAGAAACGGGAGAGGCGCCTTTTCCAAGAGCGTAGTCCTGAGAGGTAGATCTCCTGCAACATCGGGGCACTGAGATCCACTTCCGCCCCGTCTGAGGTCAGCGACAGTCGGAAGCCCACTGCCTGATGTGCTTCAGCCATGTCACGCTGGAGCCCAGGGAGGAAAACAGGGGGTCATTCTCCAGGCCCGGGTCCCTTCCTCCCTCAGACCCAGGAGTCTAGGCCCCCAGCCCCCTCCTCCCTCAGTCCCAGGAGTCAGGGATCTCAGCCCCCACCCCCGACCCTCTGACCCAGAAGTTCAGGCTCCCGGCTCCCCCTCCTCCCGCAGACCCAGGAATCTAGGACTTCAGCTCACCCAGCACCCCCTCAGGTGCTGAGAGTCTTGAGGCTCCTGGCTGGAGACTCCGGTTTGCGGGGGTTTGGGGGGGGACGATGTCAGTTAGGGATACCTGTGAACGCAGAGAGAAGTGGAGGATTAACTCGCGTTAACTGCTTGTGCTGCCCTGCTGAGAACAAGATGCGGGAGCAGTGTCCCCCGCCACCACCCCATATGAAAAAAACAACAACAACAAAAACACTGCCATCGAGTTGATTCCGACTCATAGCGACCCTATAGGACAGAGTAGAACTGCCCCATTTGGTTTCCAAGGAGCGCCTGGTGGATTCGAACTGTCAAACTTTTGGTTAACAGCCGTAGATCTTATCCACTACGCCACCAGGGTTTCCTCCCCCCTAGGCCTCTCAAAATTCGGGGATGGGGGGGCAGGAAACCGTTCCAGGGTGGGTTTCGAGGTGTCGAGAAAAAAGTCTAATCCCCGTATCAAAGGAACACCTGCCGGATGCTGGCATTGTCCACCCCACTTCCGCTTCCCAGTCCCAGGGGAGGCTGGAGGGGGGCTGTCTATAAATTCATCTGCCTGGAGTGGCCCAGGGTCCCTTCTCTGCCTCGGACCGGAGTGGATGCAGACGGAAACACCCTACTGCGCATGCCTCGCAGCGGGGATGCTGAGCCTGGGAGCGGAGGCGAGCATTGAGGACAGGTGATGGAGAGGCCCGGACGCCCAGCTCAGGATCCAGGCCTCCAACTCCCACAGGAGGCTACTTACCACGCTGAGTCAGGGGTCCGCCGATCGGATGTCTGTGCCCAAGCCCGCGTGGCTGTCCCCCTTACCCCAGTTTAGACAGCCGGCCCGAAACCTCCTGTTTGCATGTCTAATCCCAGTGCTGAGCCCCCGACTTGGTCCCCGGAACTCCTGCCCCAAACCCAGTTCTCCCGACACCCAGGAACCCCGATTTCTGTCTCGTGTGCGCTTAGCCAGGAGTTCAAGCCCCTGATTTCATCGCTTTCCAGTCCCCGCGTTCTATCCCCGCCTCCTCCGAGTCCCTCCGTTCTATTCCCCGCCCCCTTCAAATTCCAGTGACCAATCCCCTCCCTCCGTTCGATTCCCGGCTCTTGGACTTTTACAAGGCGTGATTCTCCACCTTCGGTCTCCCGGGTTCTAGGCGGCGACTGTCCTCCGAACCCCGGATTCTTGGGCGCCCCTTTCCGTTATCTGTCTCTTCGAGGAACGGGGCTCAGCTTGCAAACACGCAGCCCTCCTCTGGGTACTGCGTCACCTCACATGCGTGGGGTGTCCAGCCAGAAGGCATCTTCGTCCTTCCACCCCGGGAAGGAGCGAGGTTTTGGAGTTGGCCCAGCCCACCGCAACCCCGCATGGAAGGTGCAGCTGGAAGTTGGCGGGGAGGCACTACAGCAGGTTAGATTCAAGTTAGACAGTCAAAGGGACTTCTGTGTGGGAAAAGGAGCTTGAATAAGGAGGACGTGTATTCTTGGGACTGGGCCCAGTTTGGGAGGCCTAAATGAGCAGACAGAGACAGAAACACAGAACTCTCGTTTTATTCTACGTTGGACGTTAGTCTTGTTTGTCCTGGCTGGATCTGCTGTGCCTGGGGAGGGGGTGGGGAAGTCTCAAGGTGAGCCTGGGGATAGTTAAGGGAGAAGAAACTTGGGGTCGTGGCCCCAATACATCGATGGGCAGACTGACGCCAAGGGAGGAACAGATGCATGCCTAATGTCATCCAGTGCTGCGCTCCGCGCTAGCCCCTAGACCGCAGGCTGGGGTCCTGGAAGCAGAGCAGGGCTCTGGCCTCACGCCACAGCTAGGGCCTATGGCTGTGGACCTCTTGAGGTTCACAGCCAGCCTTTCCCGATGTCTCCTTAGAGGAGGCACAGCAGAGCCAGTACAAGATCTTGGGCATGCGGTGCACCCTGCACATCCCCACGGAGCACTGACACCCACCATGCTGGGGGGCCTGGCGCTGGAGCCGCTTGGGGTGGAGTGTGGGAGGCAGCCTGGTTGGCACAGAATCCTTGTATCGTTGGTGGGGGCACCCAGAACACCTCCTAAGACTAGAATATGCCACACCATACCAGAGCAGGATTCAAACCTGGATCCCTGCCTCCTGTCACTCTGCAGTGCTCTGTGCCCCAGGGTGCAGGGAAGCAGTGCCGACCTCTGCAGCTGGCCACACAGCAGAGGGTTTCCAGGAAAGTAAGCAGGGTAGGGGAAGCTCTGGCCTCCAGTGTAGCTGCGACTGCACTCCACCCCCACCACGGGCAGGTCCAGCTCAGAAGGTTCCAGCACAGACCTGGAATTTCAGGGGCCAGGAGAGGTTTGCAGAAGAGGGGCTGGGCAAGGTGGGACACAGTACAGACAGAACCACCTGACAAGTGGGGACAAGGGGCGACTGGGCCCTGCTTGACTGGATCCAGTGTAACAGCATCCTGGAGGAAATGGTGTGGACAGCTGTGAGGGGCAGGTAAGCCTGGGGCTCCCATACTGGGTATGGGAAAGGTGTGGGTTGTCCCAGGGACCAGGACAGGGTGGATAAGGTAAGGCAGGTGGAGAGGGCCCAGTGGGAGGAGCAATGTGGACAGCGCTGAGAGAGGAAGGGCAGGTGTAGACACCAGACCTGCAGCAGAGCTCCCTGGGAGGACTGAGAGGAAGGCTGGTGGGGCCTTGGTTTCCATCTCAGTAAAATGGGGAGGCCTTAAGGCCCTGTGTCCCGAAGTCGAGACTTCCCATGATCTCCATGGAGGGAAACCAGAGGCAACACCCCACCCTCCACGTCCCAGCCAGGCTAGAGGAAGAAGCAGGGCAGACCCCACAAAGAATTCTATGCCCAAACACACACATATACACCCCATGACTCAGTTTCTCCAGCTGCAGTACAGGACACTGGAGGGTCCTGGACAGGAAAACACAGCCCAGGAGGAACAATATGTGTAGTGGGGGAGAGGGAGACACTTTTTCTGGGAAACTCAGGGCCCAGTTGTACTGGGAATCCCCTCCCCCGAGCTCTGCAGTGCGGCTGGAGGCCAAGCCAGTGCCGGCAAGAGGGCACCGCGCCCAAGGAAGGAAAGGGGGGAGATCCTGAGGACGGGGACAAGGGCCTTAGGAGAGGGATGTAAAGGGCAGAGACCCCGAGAGGAGACCGAGGCAGAGGCGGCAGAGACCCAGAGAGAGGGGACCTGAGAACTGCAGCCCCAGCTCCTGGGGCTGGCCTGGCTGTCTGAGCTGGCCCCTTCAGCACCTGCACAGTGGCCCCCACCCACTCGGCCTGGCAGGAAGCTGAGCCAAGTCCCAGCTGAGGATTTATTGGGGTAAATGCAACCATATAAAAACATAAGTTATGAAAAACACAATCACGATGTTCCCCCCCACCCCAACCCAGGCCCCTAAAACCCCCTTCAGCGGGAGGGAGGGAGAGGAAGGGGGGCCCCCAAACAGCCTAAGAACACCGCAGCCCTGGGCCCCGCGGAGCAGCGGGCCAGCCCTCAGCGCATCCGGTAGTCGGTGGAGCAGGACAGCTCGCAAAGCTGGCCCTTGAAGTCCAGGTCGATGGTGAAGTCCAGGTCGCGCTGTGGGGAGAGGTGGCATGAGGGCGGGACCAGGCAGGTCAAGAGGCTGTGTCCCTGGGCTCAGTCCTGGGACATCTACACTCTTCCCAGACCCAGCCGGGACCCTGACCCTGGGACTCAGCCCTTGTATGTATATACACCCTCCCCAGACACAGCTGGGACACTGTCCATGGGCTCAGCCCTTGAGCTGGGTGATCTACATCCCCCCTGAGACCCTGGGACCTGCCACCCACATCGCTGGTCCCGCTCCAGCATCTACTCTGAACCCTGACTCCAAGTGACAGCTCCACGTGGATACCCCACAGGCATCTCACGCCCACGTGCCCCTCGGGGGCTGAGCTCTGCTGCTCTGCCCTCTCCTGTATTATGAGGTTCCCTCCAAGCTCACTCCCATCAGTGAATCACAGTTGCTCCTTCCTTCTTTAAAAGAAATCCTCTCTTAACCCCACTTCCTGCTCCAGGCACTATCTCCTATCCCTCCCCTTCCCTTTACAGTAAAAACCCCATGGCCCACCCCTAATGTCCCCATTTGCCTCTCCCCCCAAGCTTCCGGGCAGCTGGTCCCACCCTCACCCTCCACCCAAAGGCCCAATACCCTCCACCCTCACCCCCTGCACTCTCAGAGGTGGCCGACAGACCCCTCTCCCAGCTTCCTGCTCCCCCAGGGTGTTGTTCCTTCTGTCTCTTTAACTTGGAGTTCCTGAACCTCAGCACCACGGGCACCTGCAGCGGTGTCGTGGGGGCTGTCCAGGCGAAGGAGGATGTTAGCATCACCCCTGACCTTTTCCCACCACATGAAAGCAGCCCCTCTTGTCATGAGGACCAAAGATGTCTGACGTTGACAAATGTCCTCCAACGGGCAGTCGCCCATGCTGAGAACCACTGCTCTAGCTGGCTGTCATCTCCCTGATTTGGACATGGGGCGCGTCCTTGGGCCAGTGTCCCTGGCTCCCTCTACCCCCGAGCCATCACCCAGCCTTGAGTGTCTAGAGCCCCGTCTGTTCCCCAGCCCTTCCAGCTTAACGTCTCCCTGGACGTGGGGCATGCAGCCACCATCTCCTCCGCCCCCTCAGCTCATGACAGCTTCTATTTTTTGGAGGAAAAAACAACCCTCTTTCCTTTCTCCCAGGGCATTGAGCTGGTGGAAAAAATCCCGCCAGCTCCACCTCCTGCCTCGGTCTCACCCTGCCCCCTCCAAACACCTGCCTGCCCCGCCCTCATCTAGGAGGG